ACCTTCCATTCTTCCTAGTAGGTAAGGGTTGGGTCTGGTCTGTTTTCCTTTCATGCTGTAGTTCCCAATCATAATCTATGCCCTTAATTATAGGGGCATAGTTCTTGGCCCTGACTGGCCTCAGATGTAAACTAAATGCCCAACTGTTCAGACTGGTAGCTGCACATCTTGATAGAAGGAGAACTTCACATTGTTAGGGGAAAGTACTGTAAGGTGATGGTGCCATATGTGAAGGGCTCTTGATAGTGGGATTCTGTGAATTGTGGTGCTGGACATGAGTGAGTCAGTTCTGCTAAACTGAAATCGGATCAGATCTAGCCTTTAAACGCAAGCGAAATAAATGGCAGTACAGAAAATTCAGATACAGCCAGTAGAGGGAGCTGCTGAAGTTTTCTCTCTCCCTCCAGCTGATTTCCATAAGGAACATGCATCAATTTTCTCTCTCCAGAGATTCTTGATTTGAGCTGTTCCAAATACTTTATGCCTCTAAAACATCTAAGAATACTGTAAACTGAAGTTGATTTGGTACTTCACAATCTTGAGTCCGTGAGGCCAGTTTGGAATGAGGTGCTTCTATCTCCATCTTTCCAAGAAATGAATGTGGTGTGTGTTTTTTCTCTATATTAGTGAGATAATTAAGTAAGTGGACACCTTGGTAAAAGATAAGTATTGAAGAAGGCTTTCAAATGCCGAATTCCCTTTCCCAGTCTGTTATGCTCATGATGAAGCTGCTGTGCAGTGGTGAGGCTGTATGCAGTGCCTCCTTTATATTGAGATAGCAGGCCTGCAAACAGAACCAGGTAAATGTTGCACATAAGCTTGATGTGGCTTACCCCACTGCTTGCTTGTAGAGTAGGAGTATGGAAATACTGGCTAGCTGAGCAGAGGACGTTATAGGCTACAAGCCAGGCTCAAAGCCAAGCTGAGAAGCCTTGCTTTTAGAGATGCGAGCTATGCCTTCCCTCTACATTTTTTTCCTGCACAAGTGATCTGTACAAAGGTAAGACTTAGACTGGACCCCTCTTCTCAGTGTCTAGCTGCTACTGGACAAGAAGTTTGGAGGTCAGTCCTGAGCCTGGGTGGCCTGTTAGTCATGGTTAATTGCTGTAGCAAACAGTACACATGAGGGTGGTGCAGCTGGACAAGAGAGCAGTGCTTGACTGCTAGTCCAGTGACCAGAAACCCACTTATAGCTGGTCCAATGTGGGTGGACTTTGAGACTTACTCTAGACTTCATGACACTCTGACTTGGGGTTTCATAGCATGATGCCTCAACTGCTCTAGGACCATGTTCTTGTTAAAGACTGGTGGCAAAATCTCACTTCCATTGGATGAAATAATCCCCTGATCAAAAGTGAGGTAGGTACACAGCATGGCTTGCTGGTTGATGGGAGACTTGGGGTGGGAACGAGTGCTCCTGAATACCCTAGGACATTATTAATCTATTAAATCTTATGGGACTAGGCCTGATCAGTAGGGCTCAAGGACTGAGTAGTGTTGTCTTGCTCTCTTCTAGTCAGTCACATTCAAAACTACAAGCAGGAACCTTGCCAGAGCCATGTGTATGAAGAACCTCAAGCTCACCATCATCATCATAATAGTATCCATTGTAAGTGCAAAACATTGTAATGCCACCTCCTTTCTCTCCCCCTCCTTAAGGGAAGGTTTGGGTGTTAACTCCCTTTGTGTTACTTCCTTCCTCTGCCCTGCTTGCACTTACCTCCTCCCCAAAGAAACAGTCTGCAAGGGGGAATCACCTAACCCCTATAGCTAGTAGATTCCTCTGGAGTCATCTCTCTGAGGCTGGGAACCTGCACTTTGCTGGTGTCCTCATGTTGGGTGAGTACTAGAGGGATGGCAAAATCTTGCCCATAGAAATATATCCATCCGAGTCCTATGTGAAGTTTAGGACCTACCACTAGGTGTGAGAGTATCTGAGGGCAGGCATAAACAATCTCCAGACAAGCCTGTGCTCCTGTTAATGACTACTCCAAACAGACCTCTGTCTTGTGTTTATCTACAAATTGTCCTGACTCACCCACCTGTAATAATAAGCCTGGGTACTCTAACACCCTTCATCTGAGAGTGTGAAGGCATAATTAAAGATGCTGTATGTGTGAAGTGCTTTGCTGGTAGAGCCTCCAATCACTTGGTGCCATAGGGATGTCACTATCTCTGTGCCACAGTTGAGTAACTGGAGCAGAGTTTTTAAATGACTTGTTAAATGGAGTTGCTGGCACAGATGGTTTCAGTTTCCAAACTCCAGGTTTGACAGCTACTGCTCTTGTGCTGTACCCTATGGGGTAGGATCCTCCTTCCACATGACCTGTACTTTCTTTCCCCAGGTCATCATCTACATCATTGTGTCGGCTGCCTGCGGTGGGCTCACTTGGCCAAGCTGTGTACAAAAATAAATGGAAGCAGTTAGTGCTGATCAACCAAGGATGAAATCACCAGGGTGTATGAAGGAGCAACCCACAGAATAACTCTTAATCTTTCACTACTGACACCTCATTCTTTCATCCTTCCAGGACTTCAAACTTATTTTTTGCCTTATCACCCCAAGCGGCCCCCTTGGGTCACTGGCCCTGAACAGCTTGAGCCTTGAAGGGGGTGGGGCATGTTTTAAAACTACTTGAAGGGATTTTGGGGGGATGGGTTTTGTTTTTGTTCTTATGTCTTCTACAGAGCATCTTGGCAGGGTGGGCAGTGCTGCTGGCTCAGGAGGATACATGCATGCTCATCCATGTATACATGCAGCTTTGCACTTTAATGTGAGTGTCCTAAATGGAGAGTGGTAGTATTAGTGGCCTGCCTTCCCTCTCCATGAGGAGAGGGCTGGAGAGAACCCACTGAAAGTGGGTGAATGTTGGATGGGGGAGAGAGGGGTGAAAGGCTATTCTTTTGCTAATATGTGGGGACCCAGTTCTCCCTGCATACTTAATCCTTTGCAGTACTTCACTGAGCCTGCCCCTCCTCCAGAGCCTGGCTGTTTGGGCTTTATCTAGGAGCCATGGATGCAAATCCTGGTTGACATCACAAATAGAGTAGTGCAGGCTAGATCAAAATGAGGTTCTTGGAAAAAGTCCCCTTTCCATACTGGAACTCCCCTTCCTTGAGGAATCTCCTTGGAGATCTGTACAGTTGGCTGGGGAAGGGGATTAGGGATAACATGGGCACATCTGAAATGACTTTCCACCTGTTGTCTTAGCTCTTGCTTCATGGCTAAGTTAATAAAGTAAAGGAGATGGTTGTGGCTGGTTACGGTTACAGTAATTTAGCTGCTTTGTCATTTTGTGGGGTTTTTTTAAGGTCTCTCGTATCCTGTTCTATTTTGATTATGGAGGAGGCTAAAACTTAGTGCAAATGTCTATCACTTGATATGCAGGAAGTGGAATTGGGGCCAAACTGCTGCTCTGGATTCCAGGGAGGATACATGTTGGTGGGGAAGTGCCCCATGTTTGCATTTCCATCCTGGTAGACTGCCAAGTAGTTAGAAAACATTGAATACAGAAAAGGGACAGAATCATCAGTTTGCCTAAATCTCACTGCTTGAATCCCTCCTTTTAAGGGGGATCTTGTCTTGTCTACATGTGTATCCTAGATTCTAATGAATAGTGTGAAACAGCACCAAAGTTAACCAAAGGCCAGGGGTCCCTGACTAATGCTGCTGTAGAAACCTCAGAGGGCCAAAAATAACCCCACAGAGACTGGCTCTATCTAGCACCTAATTAAAGGTTTTTATAATCAATTATAAGTCCATTGACTTGGACATCCTGATCATCATAGGACTGCCCTCTGCACAGTCCAGTTATGAAAAGTGAAGTGGTAGCTCATGTCTGTGCTTGGTGGGGTGCATCAGAAACATGTGCCCTTTGCACTGTGAATGACTTGCCAATTTCTTTCAAGTGGCTCAAGATTTCTTTCTGAGAGTTTTTATGATGGTTTGTTTTTTCTGTGGAGGAAGAAACAGAGCCAAAAACAAATTTGCAAAAAACAGGGTGGCTTAACACACATTGAACTCCATTGGCACCTGACCTCCATTGGCACCTGACTGTCCCATTGTGCTAGCTTGCTTTTCCACTATGGAAATTATGGCTCTTAAGAGTGAAGTTGCAGGGGTGGGGGGGAGACTTGGCATCACAGAAGCACATGTACTGAGGCTTGATGCACAGAACAGCTCTTGCACTCTCTCTGGCCTTGGGAAATGTATGACAGCCACATTGTATTAGGTCCCCATGAAAGCATGCACTAAAACCAAACTGCTGCTCCAGCATAAACTTGCTTTGCTGCCTACTATACAGTGTGACCTTGAAGGTTTCAAACTGGTACCCAACCCAGCCTGGATTAGATTTATGCCAGCTGAGATCTGACTCTTTCAATTGCAACAAGAGATGGTATCTGACATGTTGGTGACCCCCTGTTGTTCACTTCCATCACTAGTTGGGCTAAGTGAGAGTGAGCCAGTACTGAGCTAACTGGAAATCCCTGTCTGCAGTCCTAGTGACTTATCTGGGAAGACCTATGGTGAAGTATCCTTCCTCTCCTTAACACACCATGACCACCCACAAGTCTGTGCGCAATTGTGCATGTTTTAGGGACAGTTTAGAACATTACTATATTGATTTCCTAGGAGTTGTCTTTATGTACAAACACTTTTTTTAAAGAGATGATTTCCTCTTGTTTTAAAGAATGCACTGAAGCATTATGTAAAACAAAGTTAACCTGTTTAAATAAATTTTTCCTGTAAAGAAAAGTTATTTCCTTGGCTCTTCTGCAGGGTGGCTTAGTATGAACTTCCAGTGTTTGTTTGGTTGGTTGGTTGGTTGTTTTTTTTAATAAATGGGTTCCAGCTACTCTAGTATGGTACTAGACCTGTTTGGAGAGCCATTTTTTCTCTCATGAGTATCTTTATGCATCTTCTGGCTTCAGACTTGCAGTCAGAAAATACAAATAAGCCCCCACAACAGAAACCATGTTCTCAAAAGTTATTTTGGGGTACATGGCTCTATCCAAAATAAAGGCTAAAGACTAACATCTAATAGATAAGGATGACAATTCAAAACATATTCTTTCTTTTCCTACCTGTCCACTAAAGTGCCTTATCACTTGAAGAGCTTGGTAATTTGGATAGAGCTTTCTAAAAGCAGTAATAAGCAAGGCTCTACATGCATCAACCCTTCAGGAAAACATCACATCTCTTCTTCCTCCCAAGGGAAAGAGAAAACTAGTGCCAAGTAGAATGTTGCATTGTATCTGCATCTCTCTCTCTCTCTCTAATGTAGATCACTGCCTTTGTACAGCACTGTACTGCAGTGAAGACCCAGTTAGATCTTCCTAGTTGTTACTACCAAATCAGGCTATTACTGTCTGTAATGCAATTTGTTGCTTCTTAACCCAAAATGAGGATTTGCATGAAATGTCAGGGTGTCATTCAACTTTTAATTGTCCATGGCAGAGTGAGATTCTTTAGTCTTTCAAAACCATGTTGACAGTCTCTCAAGCTGAACAAATGTCCTTCCAAGTAGGACTTCTTTCCCTCTTGGAAGTGAGAATATTACTTCTCTTTGAAGGTTTAAAATCACTAGAGCAAAACAAGTTAACTTACTGTATACTTGTCTGATGGCATAATTCTCTTGTTTGGTATCTTTTAATTATTAAGTCCTCTGAAATCCCCAAAAACATATAACCTAAGCAGAATAGATGCAAGTGAAGCTACAGGATGTGCACGAGCCAAAGGAGTCAGCTTGTAAATGAAATTCAGTTTTTGGCTATTAGACACTAATGCTAAGTGTTAACTCTGGCTTAAGTTCACTTACTTATTTTTTACCTAGTGATTTAGGGCTTTGACTTGCTATGAAGTGCAAGAGTGCCAGAGTTGATAATTATCAATTTATTACAATAAATCTTGAAAACATGAATCAGACATCACTAAGAATAGTTTAACTTCTTAACATCAATTACACTACTTATGTTTTTAATTCTAATGATGTGCATTTAGAATAAAAGAAGCTTATATTAAACTTATCTGTCCCTCTCCTCATCTAAGTGGAATGTTTCTCTTTGAATAGAGAGCTGAAACAATTGAAACCTGATTTTGGGTCCCATTAGAAACAACTACACTATACACATTTTAGTGCAACTTAACTTTACTAAAGAAAGCCTTGAAGACTCTTGATCTGTTGAAGGAAAATTACTTTTACAGATATTAAACTTCCTTTAGGACAGACTAAAATTTCAAGACACTGACTCTTCTGTACCTTCACCTAACTCTTGAGCCTGTCAACATAACAGGGTACTTTTCTGCATGGAAAAATATTATGGGGATGTCCTTTTTCCCCCTAACAGATCATTTCTCCATGAGGAAATCATGCAGCAGGTCCTCAAGGAGCTCAGTGAAGCAGCTAGAGGAGAGCAAGGCAACTAGCAACAAGCAGCATGGATTTACCAAGAGCAAGTTATGCTTTGCCAACCTGATTTTCTTCTATAAGGAGACAGCCTTTATAAACTGGGGAAGAACAGTGAATGTAATACCTTGACAATGTAATATACTTTCTGCTCTTTTCAGCACTGGTGAGGTCTCACCTGGAGTATCATGTCCAGTTTTGTGTTCTACACATCAAGAAGGCTGTGGACAGTTTCAAAGGAGTCCCATGCAGAACAACAAAAATGATGAGGGACCTGGGAAACAAGACTTATGCAGAAAGGCTAAAAGAACAAGGGTTACTTCCTCTGGAGAAAAGAGGATGGGCAGGGGGAGGGATTGGTATTTGAAGACTTACCAAAATGGCCAATTATAGAAAAGATAGAGATGTACTTTTCTCTGTGGCTGTAGGGGATAGTATTAAGAGCAATGGGCTCAAGCTACAGCAGAAGAAATTTAGGTTGGAGATCAGTAAGAATTTTCTATGCAGGTGGCCAGCTTTGAACAAGCTACCCAAAGAAATCATGGAATCTCCATCCTTCAAAGTTTTTAAGAGAAAGGTTAGATACTTGGCAGGGATGGATTAGTCAAGGACAAGCCTGCCTTGAGCTAGAGGCCTGGACTAAATGACTTCACGTGGTCCCTTCCAGCACTACCTTCCTATGATTCTAAATATGTTCCAAAGGAGAAGTGGGTTTAACAAGAGGATAACAGCTATTGGAGGAGGATTTCAGAAATGAGTATAACTGGGGGCAGGGAGAAATCTGACCCAAAAAGTGGTCTCCTGCAGACAAAAGTTACATTTTCCAGAACAGAAGCTGCTCTGGGAGCCAGCTGGCCCCAGGTCCCTGGTGATTAATTCTGCCTATCACTCAAAACTAAGTGGAGACAAAACTAGCATTAAAATCTAGTTACTAGATACAAATTAGCTAAAATAGTGCAACTCTTCCAGCTTTACTCCTACTGAAACAGGACAAGCCTGCAACAGATAAAGTAAGGGTCACAGGGAGCAAACATACCAAGCTGACAAGCAAGGTCTCTCATATTCTCCCTCAGTCTGGACAACTGGACCCTAAAACAGGGATGTGTGCAATTCTTGCCTCCATTCTCAGTGCTTGCAAACAAGTCTGAAGGACAGAAGGTATTAAGTTAAACAGCTAAACAATGCAGTACAAGCTGACCCAATCAGCAGTAGTCTTTAGACTCTAACTTTTTGTGCGTCTCATTAGTTAACGTTTGGTAAATAGACAAGTGGAGAGTTTAATGCATATTACTGGGGCAGAGGGGAGATACAGATCACACTTCTAGAGATGTTACCATAAACAAAAAAACAAGACTCCCTGCTTGCTATTAAGGCAGATCTACTTTTCAGCACCTTAATATTTTATTAAGCTACACTATCAAATCACATTAATGGCAGGGAAAACATTGCTGAATTCAAATCAGTGCATATTTTATGGACTCCATTTGAATCAACAGCCTCTTGCTGAAGATGGGGGACAATTTTACCAATTCCTTCATATGAAAAAGGCAATTAGAAAAAGTTTCATACAAAACCCAATGAAGGGCAATTGTTACTAACAGGAAATGGGGAAAAGTGTATATTATGAAGAGAAACACTTCAAGTAAAAGTAGTCTCTCTAACACAGTGGGTGCCAAAGACTGGACATAACCATCTGCAAGAAGTTAAGCTTGCTGGTATTTTCTCAACTAAGATACAGAACTTAGCAATGTGACAACTATCAGTTTAAGTGCCACCCACTGTATTATGATGGCCTGTTCAGAAACCCACACAAATATTGTGTATTACTCCTTCATTTGTGAACTGACACTACTGTGATGCACACACTTTGATACAAACATGTCTGAAGTGTACTACTGATAGTTATAAAAGCTGCCTTTGACTTCTAGAGAAACATTAATAAAAAGTAGCAGAGAAATACATTTTATACAGGAATAAGTATAAAAAAAATTCTGGGCTTCAAGCCAGCTAGATTAGATGACACCAGGTGCATTAAAAAAAACCCCAAACCTTCTAACACCTATACAGCTATTTCTACACTCTCCAACCCCTGCTAAGAGCAACAAACAATAGGTTGTAGCTTCTTGCTGGCACAAACACAACAACTTGTGGCCTTTTAAGCAAGTTTCCATGTGAACATGTCATAGTGGATCGCAGTCAATGTCACTTCCAACAATGGGCTGTAGGTAGAAATCTATATTAAAGATGCAAAGGCTATTCAAGCTTCTGCAGTTTTTCAGAGTTCAGGGATACATTACACAAATAATTGTCCATTTCTATCATTAAGAGGCCAAGCTCTTGACAAATTAAATGAAGTCAAGAACAAAGTCTGCATTCTAGAGATGGAGGGAGGGGGCTCAGGAATGTATAAGTCAGTCCCATGCAGTGGATCTGGAAAGAACCATATTTTAGAGTATTCTTATGCCCAGCCAGCTGGGGTTCTTCAACACAGATGTTTGGCAGTGCATCAGCATCTTTGGGTTGCTTCAGTAACATCCATCCTTCCAAGAATCATCAGCAGTTGTCTGACTGGTTTTTGCCGACTGAGGAACTCTGTTTAAAACAAAAAACAAAAGCCATCCAGTCATATGTAGTGACGTACTGAGCTCCAGCTTAAGTGTTCATTACACCATTAGCAGAGGAACATACTAGTGATCAAAGTCTTAACTCAGATGCCATGCTTTTGGGCTGTCTGGCTTGCCACACAGGCATGCCTCATTCAGTATCCTAGTTGCATGTGGCGCACACCCATGCATACTACTAAAGCTAGTCCTGCATTTTATGGCAGGCTGAATAAAAACCCTACACACAGTATCTCATTTCTGTGGCAAGCTGGCACAAGAAACTGGAAACTGCAGGAGTCCTGGGTAATGTGTTGAAAAAAAAAGCAAATTTAAGCGAACCCTTTAAAAAATAAGCACTTAATGTCACTAAACGAGAGAGAAATGATTGGTAAAATAAATTTGCAGCATTTTTTGCACAAGTAACTTCACTATAACAGTGAAGTCCGCTGAAGATGTGCTGTGTTTTTTATTTTTAAACAATGACAAAAAGAAATCTAGAGGGCCCAGAGTATCTTGGGGAATTTCAGAATAGCTGGAAACTTTAAAAAAAAAAAAAAACCTCATTCTTAGGGCCTGGGGCTTTTATAAAGAAACACTCAGCACTTGCTTTAATGGAAACCAGGTGTAGGTCAAACACAAATGAAATTTAAAGATAATCTTGCTTCTTTCTGTGTTGTCTGTGTTCAAGAATTTTTTTTAATAAACTCTCTTCCAGCTATACAGTTTGTCCAATGAGAGATGTTGACAACTTATTTAAGAACAATCCAACCTAACTTATTCAAAAACAATCCAACCTAATTCTGGGACATAAGATACAGACTTTAGATAGTTCTGAGACCAGTAAAAATCAGAGCATATATATAAGCCCTGACTGAAGCACAAAGTTTTGAAGATACGTAATATTCCAGGTGCAATTTGGGCACCATTCATCTTCTTTATTCTGCCTCAGTTCCATTAGACTAGGGGTTGTCAATCGGGGGCACGCATACACCTGGGAGTACTTAGACCAGTCCTAGGGGTACGTGTGGGCGGGTGAGGACAGAGCACCGCCGCCTCCCAGGAGCAGGGCAGGGAAGCTCATACCCCGCAGAGGGGCACTGCTGCCCTCACCCCAGCCCGGTAAGTGTCCCTGCCTGCCCGCATGCCGTCCCCGCCTCCCTGCTCCGTGTCTGTCCGCGTGCTACTCCCCCCTGACCTCTGCTCAGTGACTGGCTGCCAGGGGTACTTAAATTAAAAAAGGCTGAAAAACCCCTGCATTAGACAAAAGAGCAACTGCTTGAGAAAGCTTAACAAATGAGTTGTTCAGAGCTTAGGGCCAAGATTTCTCAATTCCTTAACTTTATGTAGTCACTTAAAATAGCCTGGAGAGGAAACATTACCCTCTCTGGGTAATATTACCAAATATCAAATCAAAACGGTAATATTTTATCTGCCATGTGCTTATGGAAAATGGTACAACAGACACAGGACAATGAAAAACAAGCCCTGGAAAGCCTGTTGAAGATTATCTCATGTAGTTGAAGGAACAGTAAATGTTACAAGATTTCCAGTACTTGTTTTGAGAGAGAATTTTCAGGCCAAGGCAAGCACTTAAAAAAGTATCATATATTTATAAATCAGGCCCAAAATGTAACCTGGATGTTTCATTAAGCCAGCCAAAATGTCTACAGAAAGCAATTTTAAAACTAAGGATTACTTTATAGCTTACTGCTGGGACAAAAACATGCTAGAAAGTCCCCATTTGCAAACTTTATTTGATTTGGAAGTCACATCCCAGTGGATGGAACATACTACAAGTAAGAGATCCGTTTTACTTTATAGATTTGAAATGTACTTTAAAAGCCAGATTTTAGCAGACATAGTTAAAGTGCACTTAATTTTCTTAAGTTTATTTCAGTCATTAAGACCTTACCTCTTGGACGGGGGTGTCAGCTTGCTCTTAGGAGTAGAAGTTCCTCCTACAGATGTCCGTACTTTGATGGGCGAGTTTTTGGCTATCGTGACCATATTACTCCTGGTAGTAGAAGAACTGCTATTGGAAGACCCTGGACTATAAGTAGAAGACTGTGGTTTTCGAACTCCAACAGGATTTGTGTAGCTGGAGGCTTTCACTGGCTGTCTTGGTGTTAACAGAGAATTTGTGCATGACCCTCCTTTCACTGGCTGTCGTACTGTTAAGGGAGACTGACCAGCACTAGAGGAATACCTGAGCTTACTGGGATTCAAACCTAAAAGTGGAATGAAGGGAAACAAGTTGGCAATGCTGTCTCCCCCACACCTCCACAGGCCCCTCCCCCTTACACACACACACACACACACACACACACACACACACACTTTACAAAGTGTTAAAAACTAAAGTGAACTGACTTGTTGATGGTTGCTGCATTCTGGAAAGTCGGCTGCTGGGCACCTGTAGATCTGATTCCAAACTCCGGCTACTCCTTACAGACTCTAGAGTGCGAAGGCTTGTCTTAGCCAAGTTAGGCATACTGTGACGCATCTCCTCTGGAGTTTGAACGAATTATAAATAGAGCATAATAATATTAGCAGACCAAACTACTTCCATGGTATAATCTATTCCTAGGAAAATGCATGTTGTTAATTTTAATTCAAAATGATAAGAAAATACAGTGTGACCATGAAAGTGATTGCTATTTAATAACACCCATTTTTTGACCAATTCACATTTCCATATTTTTTTAATATGCAATACTGTACAGTTCATAGCCAGCCTACCTTCATTATTTGTGTACTTCAGTCGATCTTGCATGGTGCTTTGCACAGATCTCCTTGGGGGTCGAATACGAGAGGTAGCTGCTCTGTTGTAATCTGCTCCTGAAGAAGGGGACTGACATCGGGGGGAGCTGAGAGGAGATGGTGAGTACCTGTGAGCACTACGATAGGATAGGGAACAATCATAATCATCCTCATCTTCCAGACTGTATGTGTCAAACTCCTGGTCGCTGTAGGTACCTCTCCTGAGAGAGTGAAGGGAGGCACTGGAACTACGACGAGACACTGAAGCAGAACTAGAAGCACAATCCTGGCGGAGACCTGGGAATATGAAATGCCATGGACCAAATTACTTTTAACCTCATACAAACTACTTCCCCTGACATGGCACAGCAGAAGTTAACTATTACCTCTCTGATCATCTTGTAAATTGCCTTTGGGACTGGATTCAAGAAAACAGAACAATCTTCAAGAAAACATCATATGGCATATTACTTTAAGGGAAAATTTACACAGATACAGGTGGTAAGGGGGGAATATTCATGATTATTGTTCCATAAGCTTCAGGAGCCATCTACAAGATTAGCAGTACACAATTACAGATTATGAAGGTTTAAGCAGTTGGTTTAAAATGTCCCAGAATGCATTACATGTTATGCTTTAGAGCAGGGGTTGTCACCCGGGGGTATGCATATCCCTGGGGGTACTTCAAAAGGTCTCAGGGGGTATGCGGGGGTGGGAGGGGACAAAGTGCCGCTACCCCATGCCACTGCCTCACAGGTGCAGGGTCGGGGTGGGGTGAGAGCAGTGTCGTACAGATGCTGCGCTGCCACTGCTTGCCACACCCCCACTCTGCATCCAGCTGCTTGCAAACTCCCCCTGCCACCGTGCTCCGCATCCAGCTGCTCACCACCCCCTCCCGCCCGCACTCAGCCGGCATCAGTCTATCACCAGATTTAGATGGACATCTTAGAACCATAGACTTTATCCCTCTGTATGAGAGCAGTTGCAAACCATCTACATTTCCTCAAAATTCCAAAACTGTAAGATGAAAAGGAAATTGCTGTCACATACTTTCTTCCTGTAGGCGTGCCATAACCTGGACGTCAGTCAAGTCCTGCAGTTTGTAGCCCATAGAGATAGAGTCATCAGATGTACTAAGCTCACTGTCCACAGAGGACTGAGAGCTCAGTGCAGAATGCATACTCAAGTAACCTGTGGGGAAGAGAGGTGGAGAAGGAGGAAAGAGAAAACAAAATAGTGAGCAGCAAAAAATGATTTAGAAACACACAGAAAGCAAGCTACCCCATTTTTATTTGAGGGCAAAGCAATTAAGGTCACTGTTGGAGGTAGCTCAGTTTATTTGCTAAGGAAAAAAACAAAAAATCCAAAAGTTAGTTACACCTACAGAAGACTGTTCTTCACATCTTGACTACTAAATAGACTGACTGATATGTTAGATCATGGATTCTTGTCCAGAGGAAAGCAACTGAGGCTACCAGAACCTCAGTCTGATTTCAGTGCTTAATATTTCCACACTTTGAGAAAGATATGTCTGCTGATCCAGAAGCTGATTTTGAAGTCACAGGAGATGTTTGCTGTGGTGTTTACACAGGGTTATATGAGCGCTAATGCCTCACACCCTCCTGAACCCATAAAATTACTATTATGAGTAGTGTTCTACTGAGCTACATCAGTCACATAGTAACACTCTTATACAACAGAAGGTTTTATAATAGTTACTTGTTACCTCATGACACTTCTCCCTCACCCCTACCTGTTGTTTCATCCACTTGCTGCATCTTGTAATAAATCAAGACTACATTTCTCAGGGAACAGAATGGCCTTGGATTTAAACAGACATCACTGTATTGATATCAAAGAATACTGATACAAGCTGTTAAGATGCAGCTGGTAACCATGATTATGTGACACCACAAATGTAGCAAAAACACTTCACTTTTAATCCTGCTTCATTTAGGATTAAGGTTAGGGTGATTTAAAATCAATTGTATTGCTACAAGATCATGCAAACTTAACAGATCAGTGGAGGCCATTATTTTTGGCAGATGTACCACAAATTAGCCTACACCAATGCTCAACCTCTTGCCCGCAGGCCAAGTCTGGCCTGCAGAGCCATCACATCCAGCCCAAAGGAATCCCCACAAGTTGGAAAAATTGGCAAGCAGCAGAAGTTGCATGCAGTGGAGTCCAGCCCTGCCCAGGCCATGGCTATGCAGAGGGATCAGGATGGTCCCACCCCTGCTATACCTGGATCAGGCCAGGCTGCTCCTCACCCCCTCAGGTGTCCAGATAGGAGCCGTTCCACTCCAACCCCCACCCCCATGCACCCAAATCAGGACCACTTCGTTCATCTTCCTCTCTCTGCTTTCCCACACACCCCAACCCATGTGTCCGGATCAGGGCTGCTCCACCCCTTCCCATCCTGCCCCCTGCATGCCAGACTAGGGCTGCTCCATCCCCCTCCCCAAGTCCCTAACCCCCTCACATCCAGATTGGGGACCAAGTCGCTCCCTGCCTGCCCAGCACATGGACCAGGGTCAGCCAGTGCACCTGCCTGTGATCAGATGGAGCCCAGCCATGATGGATCCAGCCCACCAGACAGATCCAGCCCACAGCCAAGACTTGGCATTGTCCATCTGGCCCACAGGGCAAAAAGGTTGGACACCACTGACCTATACCTTTCCGGAATGCTACTCCAATGCCCCTCCCCTGTTCAACCTGCTGCTCTTTCTGCTCCCTGCCCAATCTGCTGCTCTGCTGTCTGTCACACTTGTGGCACACATGCAATAGCTGCTGCATGCTCCCAAGCAGCCACTCCCTCTCCCCTTTTAAACCAACTAAAACACACATTTGTCCACACCCTCAGGTACTGGTTTGTACAACAGTGTTTCTCAACCCATGGGTCACAATCCAAAAGTGGGTTGCAAGAATATATGAAAGGGTTGCAAACAAACTTTAAGAACTGGATCAACAAACTTTAAAAATGGATTCTCCTTTAAAGGAGAAAAACCCTTTGCAGGCTGGCACTTTGCACGCTGCAAGGGGCTGCAAGGAGCAGGAAAGCAGCCAGGCAGCATGGAGAGCTGCTACGGGGGTGGGGGCATAGACGATATGTCAGGGGGTGCAGAGGCACAGGTGACACTGCCTGCCACCCCACCTCCTCTCCAGAGTACAGCCATGGCCTCAGGGGAGCAACAACGGCTAGGCCACACAGGCAGGGGTATTGCTGCACCCAGTGCACAACCAGCTGGCAGGAGGAGAAGGTGAGGGTAGCATAGTCTCTCCCCCGCCCCTCCATTATTCCTTGTGCTGCTGGAGACATGGCTGGTGCAGGGTTTCTGGCAGCAGTGGCAGAAATGAGTCTTGCCACCCTACTGGAGTCTCGGGGCAGTGGGTTGGGAGTGAGGGGCACCAGCAGGGCCAGAGGACTGTTTTCTACTTAAACTATTAACTGGGTCAGGACTGGCCATTGATGTTTATAAATGGGTCCTGGTACAAAAAAGGTTGAGAACCACTGGTATAACACGTTGGGATAATACAATGGGATCCTTACTGGGACCACTGGACTCTACTCTAGTATAAATAACAACATTCATAGATTCATAGATGTTAGGGTCGGAAGGGACCTCAATAGATCATCGAGTCCGACCCCCTGCATAGGCAGGAAAGTGTGCTGGGTCTAGATGACCCCAGCTAGATACTCATCTAACCTCCTCTTGAAGACCCCCAGGGTAGGGGAGAGCACCACCTCCCTTAGGAGCCCGTTCCAGACCTTGGCCACTCAAACTGTGAAGAAGTTCTTCCTAATGTCCAATCTAAATCTGCTCTCTGCTAGTTTGTGGCCATTATTTCTTGTAACCCCCGGGGGAGCCTTGGTGAATAAATACTCACCAATTCCCTTCTGTGCCCCCGTGATGAACTTATGTACTCCAACTGCGGTCTGACCAGCGCCCGATAGAGGGGAAGTATCACCTCTTTGGACCTATTCGTCATGCATCTGCTGATGCACGATAAAGTGCCATTGGCTTTTTTGATGGCTTCATCACACTGCCGACTCATGTTCATCTTGGAGTCCACTAGGACTCCAAGATCCCTTTCCACTTCCGTGTCACCCAGCAGGTCATTTCCTAGGCTGTAGGTGTGCTGGACATTTTTTCTCCCTAGGTGCAGCACTTTGCATTTCTCCTTGTTGAACTGCATTCTGTTGTTTTCTGCCCACTTGTCCAACCTGTCCAGGTCTGCTTGCAGCTGTTCCCTGCCCTCCGGTGTGTCCACATCTCCCCATTCAAAGAGGGTACACCTCCTATTAAGATGTTAAATTTCTATTACAAGCACAGACATAACTAAAGGGAAATAAGGTGTCATTTTCTTTTAGTTTAAGTTCATAGTAACTGACATGTAATACTTAGTTAACATTGTTTGATGACTGAAGTCAGTCTCTCAGGATTTTCCACAGTACATGAGATACACCACGTTAGGCTAGTGGATATGAAAACCGGGCAAGTCCAGTAGCAAATGCTTGCTACTGGAAGGCTTTTTTTGATAAACTGGTTATACCAATACTTGTCCTTGCATCTCAGATGGGTGGCAGTCAACCCAACATAGACATGTTCATACGTCAGCCCAATCTTTTCTGCATTTTCTCCTCCTGGTTGGCCAATGAGTTATAACACTAATAGCCTATCATTCCCCTGTATTAGCTTAACAAAGTAGTTAACAGATCTTCATTCTTTTTTTCAATTTCAGAAATACCAAGCTACTTTATGAGAAAGCATTAACATCACCCGAAAAACTGAAAATGGGAAAAGAATTAAAGAGTATGACAAAGACTTATCCCAAAAAAATGAGGATAAAGGCTGGATTCTCTGCCTATTTTTAATAGCTGACATCATCAGCACCTAAAAGTAGGATGAAGAGTGTAGCTCCCAATGCACTCACTGTCCACAGAATCCTATCAAATATACTCACATGCTACATATGCCCTTCCCCCCCAAAAAAAATTGGCCCTCCAAAATTGGGGTGCATTTCTTGATCAGGGAAACTGATTTTTTTGTACTGGAATAGAAGCAGGAAAGAATAGAAGCATGCAAATGCTGTGTTTTAATGGCTATTGCTTTTCTCTAGCCCCAGGAAACAGAAGAGCAGAATCCTATGTTAACCCTCTCAAAGCTACAGTGGCTATTGGCTGAGCACTATAGCTTGTGCCAGAAACAGAAATTCAGCTGACTCAGGCCAAGTGAACTGTTGCATACAGTCTGTAGTACTTTGATGGGACTTCTGGTATAGGAATAACTATTATTTATAGGAACTTATATAAAGAACTATTTATAGTAAAGAAGTAGCAGTCTTTGCAAGGGTCTGGGACCTAGTCTTGTTGCTGTACTGCCTCACAAGGAAGTTCCTACTGCCTCACCCAGACTGTCTTCTGGAATGTCACACTTCATGGACACACTACATTTCCAGGAGGACTTACTCCATGCCACACAGTTAGCTGTGACACTGGAAAAATTTGGAAAAAAAAACTTTTTTCTATATTCTTCCTTCCAAAACCAATGTTTGTCTCTTATTTGGGACATTGTAATATGTGAGAAAATATGGCATTAACAGTCTCACTTTACAGGCAGTCCTCAGACTTATGATGCAATTGGTTCCTGAAAGCCACGTCTTAAGTTAAATCGTTGTAACTTGGAACCAATTTTTCCATAGGAACAGTGTTATAAATGGGGGGTTGGTTCCTTTACGATGGTCGATACTGTGTGCAGTTGGTAAGTGGTGAAAGGGGAGGGGGAAGGAAGAAAGAGGCATGGGGGGGAGGGGGGAGCTTAATGCCCCCTGTGGTGAGGGAGGAACTGGGGCAAACGCTATCCAGCTGGGGCAGTGCGGGCATGGAGAGGGGGGGGTGGCAGCTCCTGTCGCTGCGCGCTTCTCATCTGGCAGCTTGACTGGTGGTTCCTGCCATTGCTTGCCCAGCTGGTGTGGGGCAGGCATGGGGCAGAACCACTGTGCTGCCTCCAGACAAGCAGCGTGCAGGAGCAGGAGCTGCCCCCTTTCCCCATGCCCCTCGGATGAGCCACAGCTTTGAGGGCATCAGGGGGCATGTTCCCCTAGATCAGGGTGGGGCAAGTGGCAGAGCGGGGGCTATGGGGGGCTGCAGCCACCCGAAAATTCACTATAGCCCCTGCCGCCTGCCCAGAGCACAGCACAGTGCAGCCTCAGCCCTGTCAACCCCACACCATGCAGAACTGGGGGCACACTCCCACTCAGACCAGTGGCGGGAGCAGCGGCAGGAACCACTAGTCAAGCCACCAGACGAGCAGTACACATCAGCGGGATCCACCACCACCACTCCCTGCAGCTGCCCGGCCCCAGCTTGGCAGTACTTGCTCCAGCCTGGTCTGTGAATCAGCATCGAAGATTCGGATTCAGCCAAATCAAATCAGGGCCAGTGATCCGAATCAATGAATCAAACCACTGTCTCCGATTCGGGACACCCCTAGTAAATTTACTGTTATGCGATCGGTGTGGCAGAAGCTCGCAGTCAGCTGCTTTGTGTGGTGCATTGTGGGAGTGACATGCACCAAAATATAGTCTTCTGTGTGGATCTGTGCTCCTCACTCGCTTGTAAAAAAGGATCCCCATTTTTATAAGCCCCTGAACAGCAATCAGATTAAAGTAATTGAGTCACGCTAGATCTGGGTTCCAGGTTTGAATCAATAACCGAAGACCTGCTCCTAGAGTCATCATCATAGGAATCTGTCCTTAACAACACAACTGATTCAGCTCCTCAAAAAGAAAAAAAAGACACTGCAAAGATAAAATGGTCCTTTCCTATGGAAACCAATTTACAGAATTTAAGCAGTAAAAAGGAATAAACTGTCAAAGTGATTAAGTATTTGCCAAAAAAGTGTCATGTCATACATCAAGAAATAAAAGTGGAAGGGAAAGAAGAAGCTACTAATCCCAAGAGCATACCTGCAACTATCAATATAGCTAGCTGCATGCAAGACAAGTATTTAAATATTCATTTGACTCCATGATTCAAGTCAGACAGTGTTAAACATGCAAAAAAATTTGTAACATGCACGTTAGGATACAGCCGCCTATACAGAAAACAAAACAAGGAAAACTCCTTTGATGAGAAACTGAAGGGAGAACATTGCTCCAATAGGAAATGAGGCATGGGCTGCAAAAGGGCTAAATGTTACCCTTGAAATAGCACATACAAATTTCACAGAGAGCAGCACACACGCATTCTCAGGCAGACTTTGGACAAAGCATTTAGCCAAACCACCCAGTTATAATCAAGTACTTAATGTACAGTTAATACTTTATGTTATTAGGTGGTTTAAGGAGCAATGCTTCTTTGTTGTGTTTATTCCTGAACAGCTGGTTTATATTTCATAATGCTTTCCGTTAGTAGAAATGAACACATTCTATAAAAACAAACACATTCCATCACCACAAGACATTCAGAATGCAAAGGAAGCTCCTTCCATTGTAATGTTATCAAGTCAGATTCCCTGCAGCATCGTGCATAAGTGAGATGACCAGCAATATTCACCATATTAAAAGTTGATCCACTGGATTCACCTGTTCCTCTCGTACCCCAGATACTTAGTTGTGCTCCTCCCATGAAAGAGCTCAGAACAATCCTCCTTGCATAATATTAAATTTTGCTCTGTGCTATTGTCATGCCATACCTGAGCTGCCACAGGTTAGTAGTGCTTTGTTAGTCGATTTGAGGTGCCCAGGAGAGTTTAGTGCATTGCTACAGGAGCTTGTCTCTGTATTCAAGTTATGTGCACTTGGTGATGCCAATGGACTGCAATACAGGTTTTTCCACCTACTGGCTAAAAGGAAGATATAAGAAAGCCACAAATGTTACCAAGTTCTCTTTGAAAACAAATGGGATTGAGGAAAGAAAGCATTAAGTCAAACAGGATCAAGCATTACTATCAGACATTTAGAATCGGCCATCATGAATGGGCATACCACTTCCCAAAGTGAGCAAGAAGTCAAACATTTACTCTTCTAAAAAGCTCCCCCATCCTTCAACTTATATAGTCACTGATGAAAATAACTCAGTGTCCTCACTAAAACTGAAATTTTCTAGCACATATTCGAACATTTCAAGACAGCCTTCAAATAGACCATCTTAAAAGAAAAATAAGAACATGATGCAGAATTAACAGATATTTACAGTAACAGTTTAGTAGTCTTTACACTTCGATGAGCACCATCCTTTGGATTTTGTCTTAAAACTGACAAAGGATCATTCCTTTGAAGATTTTAGCTTCAAACAAAGTAGATCCATGGTGAAAAAAATAATCTGTTTTGAAATAGTTTTTAAAACAAAATATGAACACAAGACAATAGTAAAACAGAAGTGACAGCTCACAACTTGAGTCTTAATAACAGTTTGATATATGCAGATACAGCACTATGTAAAGAATAGTTTCCATGAGTAAGTAATTAAGGAATTGCTAAACTATCATCTCACTGACACACACACTACCTAAAAACAAAAGATTTATGAAGATTTAATGAAGACTGAGTACTTTAAGTGTCCTATAAAGTCTCCTTTACAAATACTGAAAGAAACATGCAAAACTTTAGTTGAAATGAAATGAATGAGTTCACAAAGCTTATAGTGAGGCAATGGCAAGATCAAGAGATAAAATATGAAGATAAAATGAATGGTTAATATGATGAAGCCTTCAGCTTTCAAGATGCACTCTAAACACCAGGCTTAAAACAAACTTGAGAATGTGCTGTATTAAGCATACAGTTGGCACAAATGAAAAAGCATATAATTTTATAAAGGACCTAGAGCTGCACACAAAATGTTTTGGCTGAATTGAAGCCAATGTTATAACATTCACAGAGAAAAAAAACATTGTCCATTTCAAAAGGTAAGCAGACACTAATACTAGCTTTGTACTAATAGTTATTTTTTTTCAGTAGCTAAGACAGTGGTCACCAACCAGTAGATCTCAATCTACAGGTAGATCTCGGAGCCTCTTGGAGTCGATCCGAGGCTGGGGCGGGGGGCTGAATGCCCGTGTGCATGCATGCATGCACGCACCCCAGCCCAGCAGATCAGTCTGTGGGGAGGGAAGGGGCAGGTGCTAGATCGAAGCCCCCAGCAGTGAGGGACAGTGCCGCAGAGGCAGGAGCAGGGGTAAACTGAGTGGGGTGCCAGCTGGGTGGGACTTACCTGCTGGGAGGTGTGCCCCCAAATCATTTTTTCTCCCCCTGCCTCAATCTGCCCCACTCCTTCCCTTCCCATTGACTTACCCACTGGGCTGGCAGAGGAGGGGGAGCAGGGGACGGGACGGGACAGGGGACACAGTAGATCTTCGGTTGCTTTTAAATGCCAAAGGCGATCTCCTACTTAAAAAGGTTGGAGACCACTGAGCTAAGACCATCATCTGACTTTCAAATGTTAGTTCTCCCAATAACACCGCACAGAATATGTGCTGCTCTTCACAGGATTTGGATTTAGGTTTAGGTTCTTATGAATCTAACCAGAGATGGTGATGTAAAAATGCATCACACTTTCCTGTCCTCTAATAACTAACTATTGACAGATGCTGCAATTGCAGTTAGTTGCCTTTCTGGCTGTCAGGGAAGTATACCAAGAATCAAGAAAATGAAGGATTAGAATGAGCATCAGTGATTCAACTCATGATTACTAACAAATTAAAAACTCATTTTATTTTGAGGCACTGGGAGTGCATTTGGAGTGGGAGGATGGGGGCAAAGATCCACCAGGACAGTCTTTGACTTGAAGCATATTAACTAGCATAACAGGGAAAAATGCCAACACATGTAATCAAAATCAAAATGAAGTCAAATGTTCAAAGCTCTTTTTCGAAATCCTTGCTTCAGCTAAGTACCCCAGGGAACAGTCGATGGTCAGACTGCATTAAAAAAAAAAATGAATCCAGAACAGGTGACTCAGAAGTCAGCATGCAACTAGGGAACTATAGAAAGTTCTATAAAATGTTACCCTTCAAATCCTACCTAAGGAGTTTGATTACAAATGATCAGTTCAGGCACAGAAGCAGAAATTCTTCAGTCTCTATGAAGTATTGTTTTTATGTAGTGTTGAAAAATCCAAATAGACCATCATTCACAAAAGTTAGAAAATTCTAAATGCACCATTGTGTTGTTAGCACTGGAAGATGCAATGGTAACCTTTCCCATAAATAATGCATTAAGAATTATTATGCAAGGAAGAGAATTAACTTCAACGTTAGATTTTTTTTTTGCAGGAATAAGCTACAGAGCCCTAAGTGAATCTTTTCTGACCAAAAACACTTTAAATGTTTTTTTGAACATGAAGGTTTAAAGATTTGTATTTCATGTACATTTAAATCTCATTAGAATACTAACAGGAGTCTTCCACTGATGAAGCCTCTAACATAGCATTAAAGAAAAAGTGTATATGAAAGTTGGCAAGAACATCCCCACTGCATGAAACTGAAAACTCCTTTGTTAACATTAATACACTTAGACATTCTTATAAAAAGAGGCAAAGCTATATTGGTTCTATTTTTTCAAAATCATAATGATTAAAAGTAAAAGTCATATCTTGCTTCTGATTTATAGGTTATTATTCTTAACAGAAAACACAAGGAGTTTTAGTGATAAACATGTCAGAAGTATTTCCTGATACATGAAGCATTTGATTTTTTTTTTTTTTTTAATAGTGATCATCATCATTTAATGGTGATCATCATTATCGGTTATTTTAAGCTTGCAACAAACTACATCATTATACTTCCATTCCAACTAATATATCTCAATACCATGCAAAATACAGAACACTTTCAAGTATTCAATGCACATTTAATTAATTTACCTTGGTCAAGTCGATTTATAAGAGTTCGACAGGCTGCTTCTGTTTCAGGACTGGGGTTGTCCAACACCTGCCGGCACCATTTCAGAGGCGATTCTGTTTTCTGATCTGTAATGGATTTTCTTGGAGAGACATACAACCTTGAGTAAAAATGGATTAAAAAAAGAATACTGAATAAATGTGAATTAATTAAAAAACCCTACCTTCCATATTTTTATAGTAGAATGTTTTCTGAAAATAATTACAACACCAAGAGACAAAACAAAATCTTCTGTTTTGTTTGGATAGCTTTATGTACCACAATCTGAAATGTAAACTTTGGAGGCATGAAATACATTTACCTGTATGGTAGTTTGGTTTACTTCAGTGAATGTCTGTGGAGAGAGTGATGAACTTTTGGACAGGTGGGTTTAGATGTTACTAGAATACGCATTTGTCCTGAGGTCTTCAGGTTTGTATCCTATTATTCTTCCTCCATAGCTACTCCAATGCTGCCACACACACAAAGTCCAAACATGCTGGTTATAAGAACCTGTAAGTAATTTTGATGCACCTTTCTAATCTGTCAGAATGGTCAGATGGGTCATCTTCAGGCCAAATATGACAATATTTCTAGATAAACATGGCACTATCAGTGAAAATGAAGCATCAAGATCCCAGATTCTGGACCCAAAACTTACGAAGTTTACTTCATATAAATCTAATAAATAAAATTAATAAATCTATCATGCAAAAGCAGGGGCTAATATAGTGTGAGTAACAACATGATGCACCTGGTTTGAACATTTAATCTTAGTTTGAAGTTGTTTTACCCAATAGATAAAGAAGCAAATTTGTGGAGAAATTTAGAGCCAAATCTGGTGTGAATTTACTTGGGCGATGGGAGGGCAGCATGTATGGAGGCAGGGCAGGGTTAAAAGTTACAAGAGAAGGGAAGATAACTTCTACTTTAATCCTCAAGTTACACACGTTTACTGACATACCCCACACACCTTTTTCCAAAAAAAAAATAAATAAATAACCAAACTTCCAAAATTGGGGTGCATGTCTAAATCAGGGAAGCTTCCTAGGGGCAATAGGGACAAGAGGAAGGAAGCACCCCACTTTAATTCTTACTACACCTGAAGTTTAAAACCAACTGTCCAGCAGCAGCAGTGGCATTTCTATTCAGGCAACTGAGGGACCATCATTCTTCATTCCACAGGTGTTAATGCACTTCTTTTTTTTTTTTAATGGTCTTGGTGGGAATTAATCTTTGCAGTTTTCCTGCCTACTGATTACTCTTGGTTTCTCCTCTCTTATTTCACAGCCCTTCACATTGTTTTTATCCAAAATCACAGATCTACCTATGGAGACCAGTGGTCAGCAGAAGCTACAATTTCAATTTTGGGCTTAACGGGAAAGGGTGAGCAAGCTGAAAATTAGGCTCTGTCTGTGTGCTATACAGCCATAACTCTGAAAAAAAATATTTTCCCCCCTTTCATTTTTCCTTCCTAAAAACAAGATGACCATCTTATTTGCGGGTGTAAGGTATATGAGAAAATATGGTATTTTCCCCTCCCCCTAGCCCTTACAAATATTTTTAAAAACAAACTGAATAGCTCACAAAAAGGTTTTATAGTTTACCAGCACAGCAAAATAACTTCCCTCCCCCCCCCAACTAAACAAATGGCATTAAGGTTAAAATTATGTATCTGTAACATAAACAAGGGAGACTTTATGTACCCATAATGAAGGGACAAAGCCAACCCGGGGGGGGGAGGGGGGTGTAGGGCCTGGGGCAAATCGGCCTGTGTGGGGCCCCCCTGAACACTTCACAGGGCCATGGTACCCGCACAAGGGGGAGAGGCGGGGTCTCTGTGCTTCTTCCACAGCGTGGGGCTAAGCCACCAGCTCCAGAGGGGCCCTGTGGGAGGGGCCACAGCCACTCTCCCCAGCTCCGTGGGTCCCCCCGCTCCCTAGGGACAGCTCTGTGAAGGGGTAAAGCAACATTCCAGGCACATTTTTCTCATGAAAGAGTAAAATCCAGCTTGACAAGGGATACAAGGTATTTGCTTTCAGAAACTAGGAATGGATACAGGTTTTATATTCAGAAAAGGCCCTACTAATAGACAAATACTTGTTCCTGTTTAGGCACCCTGAATGAAAGGGACCTGGAGGTAATAAAAGACCACAGTATGAATATGAACTGGCGGTGCAATGCTGTAGCCAATAAGACAAATACTACTCTGGCATGCATCAATCGATGCATCTCCAGCAAAGCCAAGAAAGTGATTCTTCCGCTCTACTCAGCACTAGTGAGATCCCAGCTGGAATACTGCATCCAGTTGTGGGCACCACACTTTAACAAGGACATTGACAAGCTTGAGAGTCCAGAGAAGAGATCAGAATGATCAGAGTCTTACACAGAAAGCCATACAAGGAAAGGCTGAGGGATCTGGGACTCTTCAGCCTGAGGAAAAGCAGGCTGAGATGGGACCTGGTAGCAGCTTACTGCTACCCTAGGGGAGTACATCAAGGGCTTGGTGAGCAACTGTTCACCAGGGCACGCAGGGGAAAAACTAGGAGTAATGGCCACAAACTCCTGGAAGACCAATTCAGGTTCAACATCAAGAAAAGCTTCTTCACAGTCAGGGTATCCAGACTGTGGAATAAGCTCCCCCAGAGGTGGTCCAATCACCTTCCCTGGAAATCTTCAAGAGGAGACTAGACAGTCATCTGGCTGGGGTCACCTGACCCCAAGTTGTCTTTCCTGCTTGGTGCAAGGGGGCTGGACTCAATCTTCCAAGGTCCCTTCCAGCCTTACAATCTATGACATAAGGTTCAAGGGTTGGAAGCTGAAGTTAGACAAATTCAACCCTAAAATGCACAACTGTCTAACAGTTGGGATAACTAAACATTGGAACAACTCACCAAAGGAAGTAGAAGACTTGCCATAATTTTAGATCTAAAATGATTTTTCCCCTTAAAAGACATTTTTCAGTGCAGCTTTTGAGAGAGTCTTTGGCTTATGATTACAGGGAGTCATGCTGGATGACAGTAGTGATCTTTACAGCATTGGAACTGGTTGAACCATGATGATCCAGGTTCATGTCCTGCCTTCACAAGGCCCGAGGAGGACAGGATTGCTAGCAATGCCCTTAACATACTCAACATGCAGCCATGCATTAAGCTAATAAGTTATCATTGTGTCAAGGATCAGCCAGTCGCCTATAGGGATCAGGAAGGACTTTCACATGCACCAGTGCATAATTTGACTGCTGAGGGCTTCCAATAGCAGACCACTCATCTATGGCAATAGAGTATGCCCCCTCAGTTGAGGTCAGGAGGAGGGGATGGAGGGATTCAACTTCTTCTGTAACGTGAATGACTTATGTAACCTAGACAAATGGTCTTAAAAAAAAAAAAAAAAAAAAAAAAATCAATCAATCAGCTGAAATTCAACAAGGACAAGTACAAAGTCCTGCACTTGAGATGGAATAATTGCCTGTACAAATGTAGACTGGGGTAAGATTGGGAAGGTTATGGTACTGCAAAGAAGGACCTGGGAGCTATGGTGGACTATAAACTGAATGAGCCAATAAGGTGCTCTAGTTACAAAGTAAAGCAAACAACATACCCGGTTTCTTATGATCCTATAAGATACATTAAATCCTTTCTCCTACAATACTTTGATAGCAGTTTATTCATTACATTTTTTTTTTATTTTTTTTTTTTTTTAGTAATGACACCATTAATTCCTGAAACTAATGTTTAAAGATGAAATTTGCAAAAGTATTCACTTAGTGTGTTTCTTGATTTTCAGGTGCCCAATCTGAGGCACTCAATTCCCAACAGGAGCTGAGAAACTTTTGCAGCGGAAGGTAGTAAGAAGACACGAACAACATGCAGTCTACACAGTGCAAATGATACAGCTAGGGAGCAAGGATTTGTACAATGCAAAATTAGAATTATCTGCAGAATTCTACTCTACCCACAAACCCTTTAAAAAAAGGTAGAGTATCAGCAATGTTTAAAAATGAAAATCTAGTATTTTGTATATTTAAACATTCAGGCACTTAACTCCCATTGATTTCATCAGAAGTTGTGTCCAAAGTAACACTGAGAATCTGGGCCTTTATAGGTAACTAGTTCCACTATATTCCTTCCTCCGCTTGTTCTACCCCCTCCCCCACTGTAGATGTATCATGACGCAGCCAAGAGAAGGCAGTTACAAATATTGAAAAGTTGTTTGTAAGACTTAAAAAAAGACAAAGGAACTCAGAGACTGTTATAATAGCAAAAATCATATTTTTAAACTGACTTGCTTTCATATTTGTAAACTTTTACAGTAAAATGTCCAAATATTTAAAATAGAGATTTTTCATAATTTATATGCAGGTCTAAAAGAGTAGAGAGACAGAGAGCAGATTAAGATTATGGATATATACAATCATGAAGCACTAATGCACATCACAGTACACATAAGAACATTATTATCCTCCCTTGAGTTACAGAAAGTCTATACACCAATTGGGTATAACAGCAACTAAAAAAAAATCAGAATGGAAGAAGAGGAGGTAGTCCTAAATATTCACTTCTGTTCAATACTTACAAGAGGGAGGGGCTAAAATATTAGAAATAATTCAAAACACTGTTTGTCCACAAAAACACTTTCAAACTTACATGAGTTACAGTACTTAATGCAACAAAATAAAGGCTCAACTACCAGTATCATTATGGAATTAAGGCATGTTCTAATTGCGACTTAGGGTGACATTGAGAACCGGAAACGGTAATGAGAAAACTATACAGACCCATGTCAGGGATTCACCCCAAAAATGAGTTGCATTTGGGGCTCATCATGTGGCAAGCAGGGGTATTCTGCCATATTAAATTTACTCCTCCATTTTATTTGCAACTAGTGTGAAGCCTTCAGTTTTGTCAATTTTTTTTGCCTGTATGTACCATAGGATTTGATATAAATGTATTTTTGTGATTTCATGTTAAAACCGTAAAATAATCCAGTAAGGTACTTAGCATATACCCAAGAGACATCCAATTGGCATGCATCTTGGACCAGGCAGGGTAGCAACGATCGGTGTTCATGAAACAATAGCCAATTCCGTTCACAGAAGATCATATTTTGCTCCTGAAATAG